ATAAAATTTCTAACAAATGCAAAGATGCTTCCAATAAATTATAAGCTTTATTCACTCCCTGGCTCGACTTCTACTCCTTGGGTAAGGTCTTAATCTCGAGCTCAAAAAGATAGTAATGGCCAAAAATATATATCACTCTCTTCGCTCCCTCCCAATCAAGGCAAAATTTATCACAGGGGAATTCTATTCGTCCTCCTCCATATACATTAACATCATCAAGCAGGACTCTAACATACAACCTCGGATATGTCATACATCATTGGTGGATTCTCTCAATCTCTTTCACATAGGTTAACATCATCGAGTAGTGCTTTGATATATAACCTCATATAGGTCATATATCTTTGGTAGAATTTCTTTATCTCTTCTATATAGATTAACATCATTGAGTAAAGCTCTGACATACAACCTCATATAGGTCATACATTCTTGGTGGTTTCTCTTAACCTCTTTCATATTAGTTAACGTAATCAAGTAGGGCTTTGATATATAACCTTTGATAGTTCACACATTCTTGGTGGATTTCTCGACCTCTTATACATATGTTAATGTCATGGGGCACGGCTCTGACATACAACCTAAATAGGTCAGGTATCATGGATTCTCTCCATATCTTTCACATATATTAATCTTATCGAGTAGTGCTCTGATATACAACCTCAGATATGTCATACATCCTTGGTGGATTCTCTTGACTCTTCCACATAGGTTAACTTCATCGAGCAGGGCTCTGATATACATCCTTGGATAGGTTATACATTCTTAGTGGATTATCTCAACCTCTTCCATATAAGTTAACATTATCGAGTAGAACTCTAACATATAACCTCATATAGGTCATACATCCTTAGTAAATTATGTCGACTTCTTCCATATAGGTTAACATTATCAAGCAGTGTTCTGACATATTACTTCGAAAAGACCATATATCCATTGTGGATTCTCTGGACCTCTTTCATAGAGGTCAATATCATCAAGAAATGGTTTGAGTGAACAATATTATCTCTATAAAGATTCTATGAAGTAAGTGATTGATAAAATCATCACTCATATGAAGATCTTAGCTGTCTAAAAAAGCCTCAAAAAGCATAGGTTGCAATACATCAAAGCATGTCTCAAAGATGCATAAACAACTAAGTTTTCTATAGAGGACATGCTTATTTCAAATGAAAAATAAGCATCAAGCTCATACAATAATCTCAACTTCATATTAATACATATGTTTAGTCTGTACAACCATAGTCAATAGGTAATGGAGGTCAGAAAGAATATTGTCTGACGATGGAGGTCGAAAGGACCATTGTATAGCGACGGAGGTCAAAAGGATTATAGTCGGTGGGCGACGAAGTTCATAAAGATAGTTGTCTAATGATAGAAGTCAGAAAGATTGTAAATGGCGGGTGACGGAGGTCAGAAGGATTATAGTCAGCAGGTGATATTAGTTAGAATGACTGTTGTCTAGTGAAGAAGGTCAGAAGGAATATTGACCAGCGGAAGTCTGGTGTCGGGTAGAAATCAGGAGACAGACGGAAGTTCGGTGTTGGATAGAAGTTTGAGAAAAGTTCGGCGAGAAGCAGAAGTTTAGCATTAGGTAGAAATCTAGCATTGGGTAGGAGTATGATGATGGGGTAGAAGTCTAGCAATGGACAAAAATTCGGTGATGGGTAAAAGTTCTACGTCGGGTAGAAGTCTGATGCAAGTCCGACGATGGGCAGAAATCTGACAAAGGGCGGATGTCTAGCGTCTGATAGAAATCCAACGACCGGCAAAAATATGGTATTGGATAAAATTATGGTAATGGGCCGAAGTTTGATATTAGTTGGTGGCCCGACAGAAATTCGGTGTCAATTCATGGCCAAGTAAAAATTCGACGTCGGTTGGATGCTAGGAGGAAGTCCGGCGTCAGTCGATTGGCGAGTGGAAGTCTGATAGTGTCGAGAAGTCTGGAGGCAAGAGAACTCAGGTTTCTCTTCTTCCTTCTCCTCCTTTCTCTTCCTTTCTTGGCCTCTTCTTCCTCCCCCTTGGGCCTCCCTTTCTATGAGAAATAAGGGTCTATTTATAATTTTCTAAGAGTGGCATAACTAGTAAATAGAGGGAAGATCAAGGATAATTTAATAGTGGTTTGAATGGACAGTCAATGTTGAATCCCTTAATCATGAATTGTTTACTGTGCATTTGAATGCCTTAACGATATCAGAATTTGAAAATCTTGGGCTCGTTTGATTCATCTTGTTGATCTGCACATTCGACTAGAAGCATGCCACATTTGGAAACTATTTAGTTATCAAAATTATGGATTGAACATTCCAAATGCGCTTAGGGTCTTTGATTTGGACTCATTTGAGCTTGGATTGAGTCGAATTTGGCGTCGTTGGGTTTGTATTTTCGAGTAGTTCGACTATAAGTTTGCTGAAATATGAGTGGAACCCTGTATACAATAAATGCAAAACTCATCTATGAAATATGAGACAAATTAACTAATTCTATTCATGTAAATGAATCATTAATGTTTTATTTTTCGTTTGAGATAGTTCTTTTATTATTTTTAAATATAAATTTTTTTAAAAAAATTGTTCAAAAAAAGTAATTTAGAAAATAATAAATAAGTTGTTCCAAATAAAATCTAAATTAATATATATCAAGTTCATTTAAATTTAAATTTTGAACAATTGGTGTTTGTCCAATAATAGGTATAATATCTAATTCCTTCGAATCGCTTTAATACTTTCCCTGTTTAACATCATTGGATATAAAGAATATCGCTTTAAAATTAGAATTTCTATTCGTTAGTTTAATTGATTGCTGAGATACCCACAACATATCCGCGCGCAGTTAATTCGAGCGTATCTATAACCATAGGTGACACAATCTCACCATCCCAGCGATCAGATAGATCTCTTACAAATTATCGCGTTATTTAGCGAAAAGAGCTCTTCAATATCTCGTGCGAGAAAATAAACGACACGGAAATAAAAGGAAAGGTTTTTGTTTTTTTTTTTTTTTTTTTTTCGAAGAAAGGGAAGTTTTGCTTATTATTTGCTTTACTGCCTTTTATTCTGTCTCCGGACTCTCCCAGTCCCAGCTACGCTCATTATTTACAAACACCCAACAATTCGACCAGGATAAGAACTCCCAGTCGTATCCCTTGCTAACGCCAGGCTGGCAACTAACGTGGGTCCCACCAGCAGCTGCATCAGAGGAGCGTAATCCTTTATTGAAATGTCGTTTTGTGTGGAGACAAATAAAGAAAGCTCGACACGGGAGAAATTTCACGTTATAAGTCGAAGCGCTTATGATTTAGTTCTAATTATAAGCCAAAGCACTTATGAGATAACTACATGGACTTATCACGCGGTCCGTACGAGTAAAAGGAGCTTGTATATAATGAAAGTCCCCACACGAAACCCAGCAGCGGTCTACCATCAGCCCCCCAATTTCGCCGATTTCATCTTGTCGTCCCTTCTTCTCGTTCTTTTTCTCTCCTTTGCCCTCGTTTTTTTCTAGGTAAACCTGCCGCTTTCTTTCGTCCTTTTCCTTCTGAATCGCATCAAATCTCCAGTCCAAGACGAGCTTTCCGTTGATTGATCGCCAGCTACTAGGATTTTACCGGTGAAAGCCGTCGTCCTGAGAACCCCAGCGGCAGCCGCCGACGCCGTCGTGATCGGGCCATGAGTTCTCTTAGCAGAGAACTCGTCTTCCTCATACTCCAGTTTCTAGATGAGGAGAAGTTCAAGGAGACGGTTCACAAGTAAGAATCTTCCGAATCCGCTCATCCTTACTGTTTATGCCTCCTTTTTTTGATCGGTTTTTGTTGGATTCCCAGGTTGGAGCAAGAGTCTGGGTTTTATTTCAATATGAAGCACTTCGAGGAGGCGGTGCTCGCTGGGAATTGGGAGGAGGTTGAAAGGTACCTTTCGGGGTTTACCAAGGTGGACGATAACCGTTACTCGATGAAGATTTTTTTTGAGATCCGGAAACAGAAGTATCTCGAAGCCCTGGATAAGTTCGCATCTTTACTTGGCTGTGGAAATTTTTCTTCGTCACAAATGGTTTGTACTTTTCAACCGTTTTTTATGTTTGGGTTTCTTGCTTACAGGAAAGAACGGGCGAAGGCTGTGGACATACTCATGAAGGACCTCAAGGTTTTTGCGGCTTTCAATGAGGACCTATTTAAGGAGATCACTCAGCTGCTAACCTTGGAAAATTTTAGGTATTCTTGTTGAATTTTAATTACTGGTGTTTTTGGTAGCTTGACAATGTGAAGAGGTTATCGGCTTTTGACCCTTCTCCTTTTTCTCTTATAGAGAAAATGAGCAGCTCTCTAAGTACGGGGATACAAAATCTGCTAGATCTGTGATGCTTTCAGAGCTAAAAAAGTTGATCGAGGCCAATCCTTTGTTCCGTGACAAACTGCAGTTCCCCAATCTTAAAAACTCAAGATTGAGGACGCTCATTAATCAAAGGTAGATTGCTTGTATGATGAAATGGTGACATTCCCTTTTGCATCTTGTGTTTACCAAGTGACCTTTTCTTTATGTTCGTGGACAGTTTGAATTGGCAGCATCAATTATGTAAGAATCCTAGGCCAAACCCAGATATTAAAACCCTGTTTTATGATCACTCTTGCTCCCAGCCAAATGGTGCGCGGGTAGCATCACCTGCCCCCCCAGTTATGAATGTGATGCAAAAACCAGGAGGATTCCCCCAACTAGGTCCTCATGCAGGGACTGGAGTTATTACGGTGAAATATGCATAACCTCTGTCTTTTTTTATCAAGAAACAGCGTAAGGGTGGAAAGCATGATACACATTTATGTTTCTTGTAGCAATTTCAGCCTCAAGCAACTGCTCTTCCAGGACAACTTACTGGTTGGATGGCCAATGCATCGAATGCTACTCCAATCTCACATCCAGCAATGTCGACTGGACCCCTTGGCCTAGCCGTCCCGCCCAATTCTGGTGCATAAATGCTTTTAGCATTCATTTATTATCAATGACAAGGCTTTTTTTTTGTTTTTTAATTGAGCTTTAGTTGACATATTTTTAGTCGTGCACATCTCCAATTCACAAGCATAAAGGTTATCATCTTGTTCTTTAAAGGTTTTTGTTTGTTCTTTTGATTGAAATTTCAAAATTCAATAATTTTTTTTTCATTTTGCTAATCTTATGCATGATTATAGTTTTTATACTGGCAAGATTATGTACTAGTAGATCTTACTCATCTTTACATTTAATTGTGCACAAAGGCATATATACAATTGTAGCTTATCTTTTTTGTGACCTATGCACTTATAGAATGAGAAAAGCATCAATCAGCATGTATTAACTTAATTTTTCTTTCACTATTTTAGCTACTATGTTGAAGCATCCTGCTAGCAACCCACATGTGGATTATCACTCAGCAGACTCAGAACATGTTCATAAAAGGCCACGTCCTATGGGAACATCTGAGGAGGTAAGCAAACGATTTTGTGCCCACATTTCATGTAAATTCCTTGAGATCTGTTCTTATAAACTGAAGTCGGCAGAATTATTACATCAGAAACAAGTAACCTCACTGATGAAAAAAAAATGAAGTAACCTCACTGATTATGAATGTATTTGTAGGCTTCCATACCTACCGCCCACTTACCAGTTGCATATGCTAGCATTTCTAGAAACCAGCATGGTATTGATGAGTTGCCAAAGAATGTTGCTGTAACTTTAAACCAGGGTTCTATTGTGATAAGCATGGATTTCCATCCTTCTCAACCAACACATCTTCTTGGTATTTTTTTTTACTGGTTCACATTTCAATTTTGTTATATTTAAAGTTCTTCTTAAAGCTTGTAAATTCACAGCATGAGTTTGATGTTGTTCTCTTGGTTCTAGTTGGTACCAATGTTGGTGATATTGCTATTTGGGAGGTGTCCTGCAGGGAGAGGCTTGTTCACAGAAATTTTAAGGTCTGGCAACTTTCTGCATGTTCAGCACTCTTCCAGGTAACCTTCCTTGTATTTCTAGTTGGCTAAGAGATTTTCTTGATTGTTTCTTGACAAACCTCATCTCCTCATCTTTTCCAACGGTTCAATAAGCAGTCTACTTTGGTTAAGGATCCTTCCATTTCTGTTAATCGTGTGCTTTGGAGTCCAGATGGCAATCAATTTGGTGAGATAATAGCTAGTTCTTTTTCCTTCGGTTCTCTTGAAGTATTGCATGGTGATTTCAGCATTATTGCATTAGAAAAAAAATGGAGAGAAGAAAATTTGTTGACTTTATTTGATGATTACCCTTTTCACTTCCAGGTGTTGCATACTCCAAGCACATCGTGCACTTTTACGATTTCAATGGCCGTGATGACCTAATACAGCATTTGGAGGTGAGTTCGAACAATTAATTTTTCCCTTGGCATTCATTACTATCAAATAATTTCAATGTTGAAGTCAAGTGTACTCTCCCTCCTTTGTGCTACATTAATTTGTTCTGTGAAAAAACCTATCTTATTAATAGATTGATGCACATATTGGTGGGGTAAATGACATTGCATTCTCACAACCTGGCAAGAAATTATGCATAGTGACTTGTGGAGATGACAAGACGATCAAGGTTTGCATGCTTTATCAAAAAATGTTCCTATAGTAAGCATTTTATTACATCTACTGTTAACAATCAACTATCTACAGGTCTGGGATGCTGCTACAGCTGAGGTTCTGTATACCTATGAAGGTCATGAAGCACCGGTTTATTCAATATGTACACACTCAAAGGAAAACATTCATGTAACATCCATTTCATATTTTAGCTATTATTTTTACTAGATTTAGAACTTTAGTGCTTCTTTGTATCATACCTGAACTTCCTCTATTTATCTGTCCTAGTTTATCTTTTCAACCTCCCTTGATGGGAAAATTAAAGCTTGGCTGTATGATAATGGAGGCTCTAGAGTGGATTATATTGCTCCTGGTCATTGTTGTACTTCCATGGCTTATAGCGCTGATGGAACAAGGTTTGCTATATGGACTATTATTTTTATAGGTTTCTTGATCTCCTTTCATTTAATGTGCACTATCTTTAGAATTGAATGGGAAAACATTGGTTAAGATATTTCTTGATGCATTTCATGTTTAGGCTGTTCTCCTGTGCGAGTAGTAAAGATGGAGATACATATATTGTTGAATGGAATGAGAGTGAAGGCTCTGTAAAGAGAAAATATTCTGGTTTCTGTAAAAGGTCAATTGGGGTGGTGCAATTTGATACCACAAAAAGTCGATTTTTGGCTGCTGGAGATGAGTTTATGATCAAATTTTGGGACATGGACAATACTAACCTTCTGACAACAACTGATGCAGATGGTGGATTACCGGTATGTATAGTTTTTCATAGTTTCATTCTTAGATTTCTAAAATTATAATCTTATTTTAGTGTATGGTACTGCACACAGGCTTCTCCACGGATTCGCTTCAACAGTTTAGGGTCACTTTTAGCTGTTTCAACTAGTGACAATTGTATCAAGATCTTAGCCAATGTTGAGGGATTTCAACTGCTGCGATCCCTTGAAACTCGGTTGTATGGTGCTTCCAGATTAGTTGCTGAGGCAAAGGTGGTTTAATCTTCACGATGTGTCTTCTTTAACGTTGTCTTTTTTGTTTGTTTTACTATCTACTCATGCTACTGGGATCCATGATTCTGCAGGCATCCACCCTTAGTCCCTTGGGAACTGTCAGTACTGTTCCAGGAACTAGCACTGCTGATGCTGATCGTAGCACACAAGTAGCTCAGGTTGGCGCATTGGTAACATTGAATATTTTGTTCTTCTGTTTTTTTTTTTTACACTTCTTCTTTATTTTAATTTTAATTAATAATGAAAAAAATATACACTGCTTGAAGATAACCAAAAGCTCTTAAACTGCAGCAAAGTGGTGATAATCGTACTATTGCTGATGTCAAACCCCGAATTGTTGATGAGTTACTAGATAAATCCAATGTTTGGAAACTCGCTGAAATCACTGAACCATCTCAATGCAGCTCTCTAAGGCTTCCTGATAATTTATTAACAGTCAAGGTGAGAAACACCTCTGTTCTTGACTCTTGATATTACGTAGTTAACATGATGCGACTATATCTATTGACTTGCTCCACACAACTTTTGACATTTTTGCAATGGAAAAAAATTATTTGAAAGTTTTCACGTAAGCTGATACTTGGTTAGTTCTTGTTGATATTTGATTCCTTTTTTATAGAATCTTTGAAACTTGTTCTAAACGAAGCAGTTCTTCACGATTCTTTCACTAACTAAAGCTTTCCATCTTGTCCTCTGTCTCAACTCCTCTAGCTTTTGCATCTTTTTTCTCTTTCTTGTATTAAACACCATTTTTATCTGAGGTCAAAGTTCTAACTTTGAAGTTTTTTTCCTTTCTTATTTTTTTATAATTGTTTTCTTTACTTTCATAACCTTCCTTGCTTGATTGTTGCATCTATGTAAATATATTCTATTTAGGGGCTATTTGGTTAACTGACAAAAGAAATGTAATGTAAAAAGAATATAGTGTAAAAGAAATGCAGTTTAAAATGAATACATTAGAGTTGTTTGGATGAGTGTAAAAGAAATGCATGAGATTCCTTTTTTTCTTTTTGGCATGAAGTAAAATGAATACAATGTAAAGTCTACAGAGTGGTGATTGGTGGCCGGCAAAAACAGTCGAACGCGGAAAGTCACTGATGAAGGCCGTGTTCAAAAATCGATGGCGGCCGGTGACAACGATGACGGTGGCAGGAGGTGGCAGCTGATGGCAGCTGCGGGTGGCGACAGATATGGGAGGTTGGCAGCTATGTGTGTCGGCGGGTGGCCGGTGGCGGTGGGTCACGGGTGGTCGGAGGCAGCAGATGGATGGCGATGGTGGGGGCTGATGGCAGGCAACGACAATGGCGATGAATTTGTGGTGTATTTCGAAGTCGCCTACCTCTGTGAAATGTCAAATACATCAAAAATGAACTAGATGAATTCCACATACACCAAAATTTTATAGTGAATTTGTTTTACTTCAAACTAAACATCAATATTCTCAAAAATCCTGTTTTTTAAATATTTTACACCCATTTTACTTCAAACTAAATATCCTCTTGTCTAATTAGCTTAGTATATATATTGATGAATATCTTGGTTTCCTTGGCTCAATATCACAATATAAGACATTTCCAATCTTTCAACTATAGTTCATCTAGAAATGGTGGATGGCAATTTTATTGAAATTATTTTAAGCGTAAAACTTGGTTAGCTAAAAGTTGCTACTCAATACGAAATTAATACTCCATTGACTGTTTTAGAAATGTTTAAAATTGCGTAATATGAGGCTCGCTTTGAGGCCCACCTCAGCGCAATTCCAGTGAAAAAAGTTTCGAGGCTTACGACTCAAGATTTTTTTATGATGCTTACGCCTTAGCTTGGTTGAGGCCCGCCTTGAGGCGCGCCTCGCCTTACTAGCGTGAGGCGTACACCTCAACCGATTTATATATTTTTTAATTAAAACTTACCAATCATAAACTAATGCCTCTAATAAATCACGCCTTCATGCACCCCCAAGCCGCAACAACTTCCTCTCAACAGCCTCGACATCTAGCCCACCACCTTGGTCGTAACCACCACCATCATAACCACCATCGAGAACCACTTAAAAGCCGCACACCACCACCACTTCCTCTTATAAAAATTTTGGAGTATTATTCTCATCTTTATATTGATGACAAAATTTTTATGAAAAAAAAATGATGATTTAAATAAATGAAGAAGAAACAGATTGAGAGGCATTGAATTCCACAAGATGAGGCAGGGGAGAGATCAATTTGTTATGATAAGACTCAAATAGACCACCTCATTGATTACAGTTCAGATGATTTCTGAGTTGTTGTCAATTATGTAAGCTTTTTTTTAGGAATTGATTGTGGATGAGTAGGGAACTAAGAAAGAAGGAATTTGGAGCTGAACTTAATGTTATAGGATACTTTTACATGATTCCTATATTTCATGTTATTTTGTTCTTGTAATTTTTTGATTTTAATTCTATTTTATGCAATTTATCACTTGTCATTTTACATCTTATACAATTTTTTACTTCATATGTATGTCAATTTGTTATTTCATAATTCAATAGAAAGTTAATATGTCATTCTTTAACATATTATTTGAGTATTATATAAAAATGACTTTTAACATTTATTTTTACTGGACGCAATTTTTGGATTTTGAGGCTTACGCTTTAGAACGCCTTGAAGCTTATGCCTCGCCTAACTAATGAAAAAATGCCTCAATGCCCAATTGCGCAATTTTAAACCTTGGTTTGCTCATAGTTTTAGTAATGCGGAGATGTTTTTTTTTTTGTGAATTCTCCATTAACTTTGGAAGCATGTAAGATAAACTTATTTGATATTTCAAAGTCCTGAGAGTTTGATCATAAATCTTTTTTCTGGTTAATGTTTAAGCAGCTCGCTGTTTTGTGGACTTAATATAGATAATATATGCTGCTGCTGTGGAAACTGATCTACATTATTTGCTCAATAAGGATTAGAAAAGATAAAGATGGTCTTATGCATGAATTCAACATAGGTGGCTTCGCTACCTGATACCCATACAACTTTGATGGCATTTTTCATCAGCCAAATATGAATTCCAAGCCATGTTCTTAACATTCTGTTTGTTTAATGTCATAGCATGTCATTTAATTAAGGAAATGCAAATATGTGTTAGTTATTTGGATAGGATTATTTTATTTATTAAACCAGGAACCAATTTTTGAAGTAATGCTACATTAGACAATGGCATCACTCTGTCTAGTTAGTCTATCGAGTTATGCGCATTCAACATATAGAGAAGTTACATTCATGTATCAAACCAGGGGAAAAAACATTCTAATTGTTTCACATAATTCATGTAATTCATTTAAAAGGTGTTTGAGATGATTTATAAACATATCAATATGTACAATTGGTAGATGAGTATAACGACATACCAGTTGTCTTGATTGATTTAATAAAAAAATATAATAACCTTTCCTCCAACATGAACAATCAAAGAATTTAAATCCAATAAAATTTGTTTTTACACCAAAATATAAACGAAACATATTTCATCAAATGAAAATATTAATCTCCTTCCTATGATGCAAGCATGATGATACTATTATTTGATTCTTTAAGGTGCCTATCTAATAACATCAAAATCATAAAATTAATGTGCATGAGTTTGCAAAGATAAAAACACAGTGGGAAAAATCTACCCACTATGCCCTAAACAACAAAGAGTTGGCATATTTTATGATCAATAACACGGTAGAGGATAGGATATACTGCAACTATTGTAATTATTGCATCAACTAGAATAATTTTATTTAGTAAAAATTATTAAAAAAAACAAGCATTAAAAAGTAATTATCATGCAATAGAGGCCATAAGTAGCATATGCAAAATGATAGAATTTAAAGAAATTGTTAAAGAGATTTTTTATCAAATATAGCATTTATCTAACTTTAATGGTATCTTGAATATAGAGAAAGATCATAGTCAACTCAGTAGAGTCCATTCAACCCCATTCAAATAGTTGTCACTCTGAATATTGGCATGTCGGCCAAATAGTCACTAGTATATTAGTCAAAATAGTACTACCAACAATCACATCCATATCTAACCAGCATAATTATATATGCATGATATGTTATGAGTATTGGGCAACAACAAAAGGTACATTGCCTATATTCATGTATTTTATCTATCAACATAACTCGAAACAAATGGATTTAATTATATCACAATGATATCAAGGATATGAGTTCTAAGGCTATATGACAATATAAGTAATAATGAAATCAACGTAATTCATGCACAATTATAAATATGATTAACTGATTTCCACACAGTCATAATAATGATCACGATTAGAAGTAATAAACTGCATATGAAGTAATACATATAAATGATATATATATATATCCTACACAAATGTCAATAGAACAACCCTAATGAGGAAGAGAATATCTTTATTGCTCAGTGAGTAAGCATCCCCTATCTCAAGTTAAAATATTTGAATCCAAGATTGCTCTTTTAGCTCATTCGATCAAGTACCATTTTTGTTCAAAAGGAAACCCTTGATTTGAACTATTTAAATCAAACATATTAGCTTGCATGAAATATATCAAAATCATTTATTTTACTTTTCAAGAATCTAAATTATCAATCATTTGCTTCATCATTAATATTCCTTAAAATATGACATTAATAAAAATCATTAGTCATAGATCTATCTTGAATTTCATAATTTTATCATTTCATGTTCATTTTCTCATAGTTAGATTAACTCAAAAAAGACTAACTTTAGAAAAAAATAGGGATTTCTCAACTATAAAACGTAATATTTATACCTTCTATCATCATGTATCATTTATTCAGAAGTAAAATATCTTCAATTGAATTTATAAGTTGAATAACATTGATCAATTTATTTAGGTTAAATCATTTATCTACTTAGCAACCACCCCCCTTAATGTAGTCTCTCTATTGCTTATAGAGTCCCTTTTTTTAAGAGCCATCCAACGCTGGAGCCAACTAGCATCAAGGAAAAGTAGTTAAGTAGGTAAGTTGGAGGACGTAATTGGATTAACTTATTTGTGAATTCTCTGGCAAAGACTTACCCAACAGAGAACAATCATCAAGAAGAAGTAATACCGTCTTCATATTCAATATTGACTTTTAAGTAGGGATGCTGAAGGATAAAGATAAGAAGGAAAGGCAACACTAAACCTCTCTCTCCATCATTGCTTGCTCTTGCTCATTGTTATTTGCCCTGTCTTTCTCACTTGCCTGTTTTCCTGCTCTATTTGGCTTTCTTTCTCTTGCTTTATTTAGTGAGAACTTCAAACATTTGGGATTTTTTTTAGATATTTTATTGATTTACATTTCATCTGCACTTACATTCCCTTTAATCACTTAAACCTATTGTAAAATTCCCTTTTGAGCTCTTACACTACTCACCTTTTATGTCTTGATCCTGCAACATGAGTATTGTGCTTATTTGTA